ACTCAAGTAAGAAAGGTCATTTATACAGGTGATATGAAGGTGAAGGAGCAGAGAACAATGGGAGGAACGTTCCTTTTCTTGGAATGTTTAAGCCAGCACAAATCACTGTGTGTCAGCTTGTTTTACAATCCAGTGTTTTCACTTTTAATTAGAAAGTCTTTCCCTTAGCATTTTTCTTAGCAGCAATTTTTAAACTAAACAGAAGGTGTATTCCCCAGTGCCATATGTTAAACCTGACATGTTACTGAAAATGTGCTTTGGAAAAAACAAAACAAAAGAAAACCAACTGAAAAACCACTAAAGATAGGATGGACCACCATCCCACTCCACTCTCTTCGGCCTTGTAAAGCCTTGTAAGCCTCAAGAGCACACACTCCTGTTAAGCAGCGTCAATTCTTTTGAGGAATTAGTCATAACTGAAAAGCCAATGGATGACAGACTGACAATTTCCTCTTTACTTCACTGGCAACCTGCATGGGTGGAAACAGTCATCCCCCACTTGGTCTTGTAAGTAACAGCTGGATGGAAGCTGTCTGTGGGGAGTGAGTAGTTCATAATACTCTGAGAGGTCACCTAGTTGATGTTTCTTGACCAATATATTAGTAGGCTATGAAGTGTAGTCCATTTTAGGGCTTAAACAGGAGGGATTAAAACCTATGGATATCCTCGACTTAAAAGTAAGCAAGGAGAATCCAGCTATGACTAGAGAAATGCCTGACTGAAGCAGAAAGGGTCAGTGGAGCACTGACTGATATGGGCTGGTGGAGTTTTTTTCCCCTGTAATTTTTCCCAATATAAATTCCAGTTGATTTTGATTTTGGGCTTTGCATAGAAGGACATTTTCTAAGCCTTTTTTTTATTATTATTTTATTTTTTTTGTGAGTAGTGTCAGTATGATAAAGTCTGTCTGTAAACCTCTGCTATATCCAGATGAATGAAGGATGGATCACTTGGATTAAAAAGCAGCAATAGTTAGGCAGACTCAGAAAAATGTAATGTGTCAATCCCTGGGTTGGATGAATTGTACCCAGCTGCATGATATACAATGAAGTTGGTCATTTATAGTGCTTTTCTTCCAAGACTGTAAAGCACCAGTGTGAATACTGAGAGGTGCTGTGTGCAATCTTGACGTAACATAAACTACAGCTTTATGTGGGTCCCTCATCAGCTCTTTGGGAGCCAACCTATAAGCTGGTATAGAATTGGAACCTGTGCTATCTGAAATTTATCCATGTTTCTTCTGATACTTGTCTAGGGAGGGCCATCTCCATAGAAATTCAGTTAAGGTGAGACATACTCTTATTTTGTAGGAGTACTTGAAACCCTAGGCTATAAGCTCATAAAATGAGATTGCATTCAAGGTGTTGATGGCCTAGGGGAAGTTTCGAACAACAGGGAGTCATTATCAGGATTTTGCTGAAAAAATGATCCATGATCTGATGTATTTTCAAACAGTCTGCAGAAAGACCAAAGGAGTTGCGAGCTTCAGAGGCAACACCCATGAAATCCATTTCTATGTTTATAACCGTAGAAAAATGAAAAAACCAATAATTTTTCCCAAATGTACACACAAGTTTTTTTGGGATCTGCATGCTTTTCTATTTTCTTCAGCAAAATGGCCATATATAACAGTCTGTACACTAAACTACTTGCAGAGAGTAACATTTGAGAACAAATTACTAAGTTAATATCTTCTTTGACCTGTATCTGGTCAAACTATATTTTAGAAACCTGTCATTACTAATATGAAGAAGAGGTTAATCTGGTAATATGAAGTTTCAGGATGATGGATGAGTCAAGGCTCATGAGCTATTTAACACAATATGCAGCTGCACCTTCTTATTGTAAGTCTCCAGACTGACAAGCCCAAAGAGGAGGGATCACAAACCTCTCAATACTGTTTCAGCAATGATGAAATTTGGAGGTGAATCTAGACTGCCTTAATTCCCATCAGTCATGCCTTGTGCCAGTTTTTGGAGTGCTATTCAAACTTGGATTAAAAGGAATCAGCCTCATGGCTCCCTGCTAGCATGCACCTTAAACCTTTTACATATCCTCTCTCATACTGACCCTTCAATTTATAGACTAATATTGTTGAAACTAAATTGTGTGACTGACTCCCCTGGCAGGGGTTGGAAGATCTCAGCCTGGACTTATGTATTTGTTATCTGTACATCAAGAAGGCCAGAATGATACTTCTGTGCTGTCACACACACAGTTGTACCTCCCTCTTTACAAGTGGCAGAGCTGGTTAGCCCAACTACTCACTGCTTTTCTGAGAAGGCTGCACAAAAACCTTAACCTGTGAAACCTTTAACTATCCAACTGTATTTAATTAAAAATTATTACAAATTATAAATGTTTATAAATGGGACATACTGTACCACTTTATTCCAGGTTACTTCTACTCTTGAATCACATATTTGACTGAATGTCTCCCTGTACTGCTGACAGGAACAAACATAACTGAAAGTGCAGTTCAGAGAGGGAGAGAGGGAAACACTGCTTATTATACTAATGCCTGATACTGACAGCTTGCACACAAAATCTTAAAAGCACTCAGCCACTTCCTTTTGTGCCCACTTTTAAAGGGTTTAATGAAACATAGAAACTGAGATTTTAAAGCTGTAGCTTTGGATGTTATTTTGCCATGTCAATTTTGTTTGTTTGGTTGGTTTTTTTTTTCCCAAATCACACAGCAATAGTTTTCTACCTTTCTGCATCAAACTTCAGTCAACAAATAATGAATGCTGTTTTTGGATAATAAAATATTTCTGTTATTTGACCTGTTCTAACAGGTGGGCAGCCAAATATCACCAAAGGAAATATGTGTCAATGATAGTTATTGAGCAAAATCTTAGTCCTTCTAGGACATACAAACACAATTAGCAAGTGTATCAACATACTTCTAATTAATTTTTTTTAAGATTAAAAACCTTTAGACTATGCTGCAAGTTAAAAATAAAGGCTCATTTCTTTCCAGAGACAGTAGACTGAATACAATCCTTCTATAGGAATATATAAAGAAGCTAGTAAAATCCTTATACTGAAACTGGTAATCCTTAAACTGGTTTGAGTGTATGAATGATCATTTGTATTCTGCATCAGCATGCAAAATAATGTAACACTTCTTGAAGGTGTTGAAGATTCAGGACAGAGAAAGATTAGGCATTTCCTCTTGAAGTAAAATGGTTAATGTATCACATTTCATGAAACTCTTCAGATTTGCTTTGCTTATGAAAAAAGTGTAGGACTTGATTTTTATTTTTTATTCTTTTTTCTTCACTATGGAAAGTAAGGCCTTTATCCTGCGAATTGTTATGTATGCATTTAACTTGATGTACAGCATATATTCCCATAGATTCCACAGGACTGAATGCCAAAGATAGACACATCTGTGACTGCTTACAAGATTGGAGCTAAAGAGCTTCAAAAAAGAAATTGAACAGAGATAGTTTTTGAAGTATGCAAGCAAAATAAGGGGAATAGAGATGCTTTCAGACATTGATCTAGATCCTTGCTGTATATATTAATTCTGTGTGTTTGCAGATCCTATGTACAAAAGTTTGGGCGCAGGTGGAAAAAGCAGGCTGATTCGGTTTTTCAGACAGGGGTTCACTCCTAGGGGTGCCAAGTGTTGCTGTATTATCGCAGGCAGCATTTAACACACCTTTAAATCCCTCCAGCTGAGGAGTGAGGGTTCAGCACTAGCAGGAAGGAGAGTAAGAGAGTCCTGGGGCCGCGGACTGACGGCAGGGGGATTTCTGAAAGTAGCAGCCAACGCTTACGACGCGGGGTTTTTTTCGGGGCATATTAATCCTATCGATTTAAGTAGGAGTATTTATCCTTTTCTGAGCTCCATCCTCACGTTAGTATGACAGCACTATTGTCGTTCAAACACGTAGTCGGCGGCTCTTTATTAAGTCTCTATAAATATGACACAGTAAGGGCATTCAATATTTATGTGGAGAGCACACGCATTTGTGTGTAATCCCGGGCAGTCCTGCAGCTCGGAGGCTTTGCAGCCTCCCCACTCCCGGCGCAGCCCAGCCCTCACCCTCCGCCCGCCCCGGCCGGGGCTCCCGCCGCCGCCTCAGCGACCTCCCCCGGAGCCGCCGCGTGTGACACACCGGAGAAAAGCTTCCCTCGTCCCCGCGTCGCCCCCGCCCGCTCCCCCGGGGCGCCGCCGTCACCGCCGGCAGCCGGAGCAGCCGCTGAAGCCGAGGGGCGGCGGGGCTTGCCCGCCTCTCCCCCCTTCCCTTCCTTTCCCTTCCCTTCCCTCGCCTCTCCCCGGTGCCTATATATAGCCGCCTCTGCTCGAGCCAGCCGGGAGATTGCTCTGTACCTGCAGGAGACAGGAAAGAGAAAATAAGAAGAGCGACTCTCCGAAGCCTGACCCGCTCTCAGGAAGAGGAGGACGGGCCCGGCCCGCGCCGCTGTCCGGTGCCACCGCCTCCGGTGCCGGGCGAGCCCGGCGGGGACGGGCCGACCTGCGCGCCGGCGCCCCGGGGGCGCGCATGGCTCGGGCGCTGCCGGGGCCGGGCGAGGAGCCTGACCCCGGCCCCGGCGGCTCGGGACGCGGGGGAAGGAGAGCTCCTTGCGGACGGCGGCGCTAGCGGGGGGGCCGGGGCGGCAGAGCCCTCCCCCTTGGCGCCGAGGTGCGCTCGGCGGCATGTGCTGAAGTGCCCCGCAGAAGCCACACAAGTTGCCTGCGCGGCGTGGCCGGACGGCGGAGAGCGCCCGCCGCCTCTTGCCTGACCCGACCCGACCCGACCTCGTCCCGTTCCCCTGACCGAGGGCTGCTGCCCCGCGGGGCTCCCGGCGGCCAGGGTGATGCGGCTCGTCGGGAAGTGAGAGACGGTGCGTCCCACGCGGGCCGAGGGCCCCCCTGCTCCGGAGTCTCCCATGCTTTCGGGGCCCCCTCGGGTGGCGGCGGCCCCGCGGGAGGCGGGGGCGGCGCTGCCGTGATGGCCCTGGAGGAGAAGCGGGAGAAACGCCCGCCCGTCACCCCCATGATGATCGAGGAGGATGCCGCCTTGCGGAACGGCAGCCGGGGGCTGCCGCCGGGACCCTGGGCCGAGGCGCCGGGGCCAAGACCCCGCACCACGGAGCGGCACATCGCCGTGCACAAGCGCCTGGTGCTGGGCTTCGCCGTCTCCATCCTAGCGCTGCTGGCGGTGACCATGATCGCCGTGCTGCTCAGCGTCCGCTTCGAGGAGTGCGGAGCCGCCGCCGACGGTCCGCCGCGGGCCGGCGGCAACGGGAGCCTCTCGGGGACAGCCCGGCAGCCGCCCCGTGCGGGGCAGCCCCCCGGCAGGCCGGAGGAGGAGGCGCGGGGCGGGGAAGCGGCGGAGGAAGAGGAGGAGGAGGAAGAGGAGGAGGAGGAGTGGCAGCGGCGGCGGGAGCTGCCGCCCTGGGCCCGGCCGCGGCTGCCGCGGCACCTGCGGCCGCTGCATTACAACCTGATGCTGAGCGCCTTCATGGAGAACTTCACCTTCAGCGGGGAGGTGAACGTGCAGCTGGAGGTGCGTAACGCCAGCCGCTACATCGTGCTCCACGCCCACCGCATGCACATCGAGGCGGTCCGCGTGGCCGAGGACAAGCTGGCCGGCGGGGTGCGGGTGGCCCGCACCTTCTTCTATCCCCAGACCCAGGTGTTCGTCGTGGTCCTCAACCGCAGCCTGGAGGTGCAGAGAAGTTACAACCTTAAGATCATCTACAACGCCCTTATCGAGAACGAACTGCTGGGCTTCTTTCGCAGCTCCTACGTCCTTCACGGCGAGCGAAGGTAGCGGAGGGGCCGCGTCGCCTCAAACCCAACTCAGTCCGAAGTTGGCGGCCCCCGCGCCGAACTTCGGGTAGGGCGGCGCTAGGACCCGGCGGCCGCGGCGCCGCCAGGCGGGTGATGCCGCGGGCTCCGCGCTGCCCGGCCCCGCCGTCCTGCCGGAGGGTGCGGGGCTCGGCCGGCTGCGCGGGGAGGGGGCTACGGGGGGGAGCGGCCGGCCGGCTGGTGAGCGCAGTCCAGGCCTCGCCTCCCCCCGCCACCTCTCTCTGGACATCTCTGTAGGGCTCGGCTGTCAGGGCAGAGATGCGGAGGTTCTCGGGGACCTCGAGCCCTTGCCCGCTCCAAGCCACCGGCCGGTGTCGTGAGACAGCCGTGAGAGCGGCTGGAAGGCGGCCGAGGCGGAGGGACTGCGCGGGAGCGAGCGGGGGCGGGCGGAGCTGCCTCGGGCTGCGGGGCGGTCCGAGCCGGGGCCGTGCGGGAGGCCGGGCCGGGGTTAGCCGGGGCCGCCGGCAGGTGAGCCGAGCGCTCCGCCTGCGCGGAGAGGGCTGCGGGCAGCGGACGGCGGGTCCGGAGATGTCCCAGCGCAGCGTGGGGACGGACGGCTGAAAGGAGCAAACTTGCAAGGGTGGCACCAGTGAAGCAGAGCGTCCGCTAGGACCTTGTCAGGACAGGCCCGGAGCAGAGACTCCGGCTCTGTTTCACACAAAGACTGTGTCCGGCTGCCGTGTGCCCTCGTGTGACAAAGCCTTGTCAGGTTACAAATAGCAGCGTGTCGGGCAGCGAGACTTGTGTTTTGTTTTTATTCTATTGGGTAAAGTGAAAACGTGGTGGGATGCGTTTTCACATAAGATGAATACGTTCGCTTGCTGCAGGTGGGTCGCTGCACATTTACACCCTGTGACCCGGCAAACCTGATTCGTTTGCAGGCACAGCAAGATCCAGTCTTTATCTGTATTTACTCTTGTAGTTAAAGCCCCTTGGGTTCCTGTCGAGGCCCTTGTTGCGGTAGGCAGGGTTACTGTGGAGGGCCCCATTTAGCCAGTTACAGAGGCTTTCTTTTTAAAGGTGTTTTCTAACCACATTGAGGCTTTGTAGTGGAAAAGAAAGGCGGGATGGACTTCTTGATAGTTCTGGCATGGTTTATAATTTTAGAATTGGATTATTTTTAAGCTGCCCTTTCTTTAAATACCTGTGCACATCACAGGTTTTCTTTTCCTGAATCTTACTGTTTTAGATTGTGAAAGCAATCTAAGTGAAACAAAGACTTTATAGTTGGAAGAACTGGGCAAAAATATTAAGACATGAAAGGCATTCTCACCAACTCAATTAAGTCAAAAGCCCTTTTATTAAAACGTATTTTCATTGCTATGATTACTGACAATTTTAAAAAGCCTGATATTAGAACCACAAGCAGGATCAAAATTAAGTTTTTGCAATTTGTCATCGCAGTGAAATAAAAAAGAAATTTGAAAAAGCATAGTTGTAAGAAAAGATGCGGATAAAATGCCTTTTATCACGGTTGACTGAATGGTTGGGGTAATTGGGAGTTCTTACAGACTTGTATTGAAATGGGCAAATCAGAAAACAAAATACTGTTAACAGCAAGGGGTATAATTAACTTTACAAATCTGAGAAGTTATTTAAGCAGTTATTATTCTTGTGTACTTTGTGTAGGAATAATTGAGCTGTCAGATAGGTGTGGCGGTGACATTTCTCCAGAGTTACTGTACTACACTTCAATACCGATCCCCTAGTTAAGATTTAGAAACCATCACCAACAAAAAAAGGGTCTATTCACTGTTTCAGTCATCAGGATAGTTTAAGACACAGGGGAAGGTGATGGTAAAATATCTTTCGCAGTGCTCTGTGTGTAACTTTTCAGATATAAATGACTTTGTTTTTAATACACTTAAGTATAGTCGTGGGCAAAATACTTTATGTAAGATAGCATTGCTGTATTGAAAGCAGTGTCATGTTTTTTCCTTTACACCAGCTCACTTATATTTCTTTCAGTAAAACATTTTTAAAACTGTGGTCATTGTATGGTTGTAGTTTCAGGTGTTAAATAGAAGAAGTTCCCTTTTCAACTGGCACAGGCTTAATGACTCACTATAGTATAAAGTGAATAATACCCATTCTAAACTAGGGAACTTTTTTGATCAGAGAGCATTCTTACAGTAACAATTTGCATTCTGATTAATAACCCATTTTTCAGGATGGGTTATATAAACTATATAAAATATAAACATTTTTAGTCCTCAAATATGGACAGCTTCTATTATGATAGACAGACAGACTTGCATGCTCTGGGAGACCTTGCTGTTCCAGCAGGGCTTTGATTTTTTTGACACCTTTATATTCAGTTAAAATACAGCAGCCTCATTGGAGTAGTACTTGCTGTAAAAGGGTCCAAACCATCATTTTTCACTTTTGTTGTACATGAGGAGCAAATAACTCTGCTGTGAGGCATCATGAACATACTAATGCCTTCACTTTATGATTTTTTCCCCCTAAAGTTAGTTTCTCTGGCCTTCACAGGTGAATGTTGTAAATCAGCCTGAAATGTAAAAACTGCGTAGAAGTATTTATTTTCTGACTGAAATCTTTCCTCTTGTACTTGAAATGTAAAATGCAGGTGATATGCTACAAATTTACTTTGCATTATGTGCTAGAATTTACTGACAGTAATCAACAGAAATATAATACAGAGCTAGTGTAGAGTACTTGATGAGTATGCAGGCATAATATAAACGAACATCAAACTTTGGCATAAGTGAAAAGGAAAAAAAAATTCTTATATCACACAAGCAAAAGAAAGATATTCTTCAGCCCTGTAACAACTAAGATGTCAAAATATAAAGGTTGTTGTGGAAACATGTCTTTCTTTAATAGACAAGATGGAATTAAAACCTGCAAGTTACTGCCATGGGTATTCTGAGAAGACAGACTGTGAGCCTGTCCTTCCCTCAAGTACAACTTTTGATATTTTTGGGAACAGGAGGTAAAAGTGTTGGTATCCAGAGAGGTGTGTAAAGGGAAGGATGAAATACTCAACCTGCCCTTCGCTTTTGGCATGCTGTAGAAGTCTGCTTGTTTTACTTTGAACACAGAGTGAAATAGATAAACAATGCTAGGGGTTTAGCTTGTTTGTTTTCTTTAGAACTAAATGGTTAGGTTTTTTAAGCAGTTTTAAGATTTTGTTTGTTTTGCTTTATTGCACAACAAGCAAATCGATGTTTGATAGTAATGCACATGTTATAAATATCCCTACTATGGGTAGTGGATGTATTTTTAGTAAAAAATATTGACTGCCCTGTGTTTGCCCAGTTATGTCTATATGTGGATATATTTGTCTGTCTGTGAAAACACAGAAGATGAAGTTTACCAGGGTTTATTAGCCTGGTGAAGGGATTGTTTCAGTGGCCTAATATGTATTAAAATATGACTGATAATATCTCTGAGAAGTGGAGGGAAGATGTGGAGAGGGGAGAAGGGAAAGCTTCCTTATTTAGAGAGTATCACAGTATAAACAGTATTTCCTAAGTGTGTGTTTACATGTGTGTTGAAGCTCATTAAAATTGTTACTTGCAGAAGAAAGTTCATCATTCTTGCTTTATTAATAATAGGCCAGTACAGTTTTCCATGCTCACTTGAAGCTTCTGTTGATGTCTGTAGCTGTTTAGAGTGTGCCTAGAATGCAGAATCAGGTCCACTTGAAATACTTTGCATATAAATTAAGTTGCTTTGCTTAATTTAATTGGCTGATTTGGCTTTGTTGCAGTAATGCAAATCCACTGATAATATGGGATTTTTTTAGATTAACACTGGGATATCCAGCACCAACTTTTTACCTTAGATTTAACAACCTTATCCAAAATGATGGTTTTAATAATCTATGTTCTGTAATGAGGCAAGAAAAATGTGATGAATTCCTTCAACAATTATTAGCCAGAAAAGGCCCTTTATTTTAGAAAAAAGACCAATGGTATCTGCTTCAATGATGGAAAATTTTTTCAAAGTTTTAAAAAGTCATCCTTTTTTGCAGAGGCGATAATTCACTGGTAAACATATATATAGTTCTATCAAGAAAAAGGTGTAACATTCCAATAAACTTATTGGATTGTAAAATCCAAAAAGTTTTAGAAAAAGTTAATTAGATACTTTATTTTCCAAACGGGCTACCTATGTTTTTTGCTCTGTCAGTGTTAGAGTATCATATTGCAGATTAATGGTTATAGACTGATTAATAATAGGTGCCACTGTTTTCATCACATCAAAGCTATCCACCCATCTTTTTCCCTCAGAGGAATAACAGATGATTAGTCAGCCTCTAAAATTTTGATAAATGTTTGCCTGGTATCTAAAATTGCACAGTTATTTCCACAGATGAAGCCTTGGAAGGTGAGACATGAATCAATACCACTCAAAAAGCCTACATACTACCTTCACATTTACATGGTTGGCCCATGGTAATTTTCTCATTCTACATGCCTATGGAAAATACTCTTACCAAACTCCATAATTCAACCTTTTAAGTGTAACTTCTTGTTTCTGCAGAAAGATGATGTGTTTTCTCCAGATGTGTAAATGTAAGTCTCCATCCAGAAAGCTTCCTATTTGGTATCTGGATCAAAATTTATTTAGTTCCAAAGAAAACAGTTACAGGTTTTGTTGTCAAGCTAGAGCCTTCCCATTCTTCCCATATGTGCATAATTAATACTTTACCTCCTTCAGAGATCTTTCCATAGTTTGACTCATTAACTGAGAGTATGGATTTGCTCTCTATAAAATTCATCAGAAAAGAAAAGCACATGTAGAAGAATGGTGAAATATTTAGTGCTGGTTTGATCATTTGCTTGCATTTGTGATTCTGCAAAGCTCACAGAATGTTTTTTCAGGATGTGCACAGACACAGCAGTGCTATGTAGTATACTGTGTCCCAGGCCTGCATACAGCTGGTAGAGGAGTAATCAGCAGTGGAAAACAATGACCCTCCTGAGTGCACTTTGTGACCGTAAGTTCTTGTGCCCAAAGAAAGGTAAAGCGCCCTGTCAGTGTCTCAGGGCAGAGTGAATTCCCTGAAGGCTGTTAAATCCTGGTTTGAACTTGTTTTACAGGTATATTGTGTGCTTGTATTACATTGTATAGCCAGCAGTAGCACGCCTTTTTTTCCCCACATATTGATGAACAATACTGCTAGAAGCTGAAATTTGATGAAGGGGTTGATTTATTTAGTGTCAGTTTGGTGTCTACATATTTGTAGGAAATTTGTAGACCATTAATTTGTATCTATTGCATTGCAGTAGAGGTAATAAGATCAAGCAGTGTTCAAACACTGTATGTTTTGTACAGTTGTAATTTTTTCCTCCTTTAAACCACAATGGTCAAGCAGTGTCTTACGTGGTATGTCTATGAATCAAGTGCTAGGCACAGTTAGTAATCAATTTTTGTTTTTGTTTTCTGAATTTCTAGGTTTCTTGGTGTCACGCAGTTTTCTCCCACTCATGCCAGAAAAGCCTTTCCTTGCTTTGATGAGCCCATCTACAAGGCCACATTCAAAATCAGCATCAGACATCAAGCGACTTACTTATCTTTGTCCAACATGCCAGTTGAAACTTCTGTTTTTGAAGAAGATGGATGGGTTACAGATCACTTTTCACAGACCCCTCTCATGTCCACCTATTATCTGGCTTGGGCAGTGTGCAATTTCACATACCGGGAAACTGTCACCAAGAGTGGAGTAGTTGTAAGTATTTCTAATGTACCAAATACATTTCATTGCTTTAAAAACCCTCACTTTTTGTAAAGGGATTGTACCAGCAAATACTTAAAATATTTTCTTGATTAGTATTTTTAAAATTTGCTGGTCTGTTTAATGATTGTGTGTATTGTTTGGGACCTTTCCTGGAGATTTGTGTAACATTTTTGGTTTGTCTTGTTCCTTTTCTAAATGGTTAGCTTAGTAGGGCTTATCTGATGAATTCTGAAACTTTTAAATATGCTGTTAAACTACACTTTGGTTTTCTTGGGAAGTTTTTTTTTTTCTTTTTCCTGTAGCCTTTTCATTACCAGTGTTCATGAGATTATTAAAGTGGTAATTCTGGTAAGTTTTCCAGTCTCATTCCTTCAGTACTGATGTGTCCCTTGGTGTGCTGTATGCTAGCTCTGGAGGCTGATATAATAGTTTCTCTCTTAGATCTTTTGCTCAGGAGCAGGACTTTGTGACCTATGTACTTCTGAGCTTGATGGAAGCACTAAGTTTCTGGAGCTGTTTTTTGCAAATATGGCTTGATTCCAGGAGTTACGCCTTGGAAAAATCCTTTATTTATATCAGTTTTGCTTTTGTGTACAAATACCAAGCTCAGAACTGTATAACAGGCCAAAACATACAGGAGAAAATACTGTCAACTTAATAGAATATTTCACAGTGCTGTTGTCTTGATTTTTCAGGTGAAAACAGAGAAACCCTTCCTACTTAGTTACTGTGGATAACAAAACAGATAGTTCTGGAAGCAGAGGACTAGACAACAGTTTGAGCTGTTAACCTGAGCAAAGGTTATACCTTGTACTTTGGAAATGCTATATGATTTTTGTGCTGTAGCCTGGAGACATGAGGAAGGACTGCAGACTCTTCATATCAGGATATATCTCCTTAAACACTTTAAACCAGCCTAAGCATTGTGTTGCAGTGTCCTGCAGATCATGGAGCTGATCTACCTTCTCTGAGCCAAAGGTATTCTTGGCCTTCCCTTGCCAGCCATCAGTTCTGTACAGCCATATGATCTGGCTGAAAACTGACCTGAAAAGTAACTAAAAATGTGGTAAGTTTTCAGCCAAGACAGTTCACGGATCTGACTTTTTGTGCTACTACCAGAGTCGTAGCATGGATTTGAGGCTGTGCTGATGGAAGGTAGATCCAGGACAGTACTGGCATATCATTTAGGCCATCTTGAAGGGATCAACAAATATGTCTTTTTGTTACTGGAACAGCTGGGTAGGACACTGGGGTCCTTTCTTCGGCCCTTTTATACCATGACCAGGAGACTGTGACACTACTCTCTGGCACCACAGGAAGGAAATATGACTAGGAAGTGGTTTTCCTGAGGTGCTTTAACTATAATGATATGGGAACTGCTGAGACTTACGTAATAGTCATAGGATCATACAACAATTTTGGTTGGAAGGGACCGTAAAGACCATCTAGTTCTGAATACCCCTGCCATAGGCAAGCACACCTTTCACTAGACCAGGCTGCTCAACAACCACATCCAACCTGGCCTTGAGCACTTCCAGGAATGGGTCATCCACAGCTTTTCTGAGCAACCTATTCCAGTGTATCACCACCCTCACAGTAAAGAATTTCTCCATAACACCTAATCTAAACCTGACCACTTTTATTTTGAAACAAGTTACTCCTTGTCCTATCACTGCCATTGGCATAACCAAATTTTTAAAACGTGGGGAATGGACCTCAGAACCATCAATTTGAAACATGAAACCTTCTTCTTCCTTAACTCATTTTCTGGTAGTATTGTTTAGAGCTCATATCCTGTAGGCTTTTGCTGCTTGAATATATTTGACGCCTTGAAAACAGAGGCACACTTACGTCCTGTAGACAACAGTTCATAAGTTTCTGCTGTTCTTGTGTTTCCCAAAACTGTTCTCAAGACTGTCGATTTACCTGGAATCTGAAGAGAAAATCCAAGTATTCTTTTGTCAGGAATTTGTGGTTACTAGAGCCTTATAGTTATGCTGGAGTCTGTTGGTTCAGCTCATGTGGGAGGTACATATGTATATCCCATCAGCTTGACATCACCACTGTACAGAATTTTGCCAATAATTATGAAAATTAGTAGGTTAATCTTCATGAATACTTGAAGACCAAAATCCTGCATAGATTGAGATAGTCTCTTATCCCATAAAATTGTTTGGCTAGAGTTTTAACTCTTGTTTTTTTTAATAAAGCCCTTATCACAGAGGTGTATTAATGCCCAGGAATACTGAAATAGTTTGCACTGAGTTATTGGTTAGATATATCTTGCTATTTTTCAGTTCCATTTGGGATCTGATCACCTTTTATCGTGGTGCAGTTTTGTTGAGTGTTTTTTAAGGTATGAACTCACGGCAAGTACTTCAGAGCTGCGTTATTTCAGCTGAATTGCTGAGGTAATCTATCTTTTTGAGTCTCTTATATTGCATTGTCAGGAGTTCATGGACGCTACTGGTTGAATTTGAAATTATCTGAATCCTTGCACATGGAATTTCAAATTTCTTGGTTTCCTTCAAAGCCACTTTTTACAAAAACATAGTTACCCCCATATCCAGGGAAGTTAACTGTATAGTAAAAGTAAGTTTGCTTCTAAAAATGAATGTATTTTCATGAAAATTACCCAAACCTACAGCTGAAGAGTCTTGATAGGCTATTTCTTACATTGGTGAATCTTCATTTTAATTAATGCAGGGTATATTAGATTTGTTAGTAGACACCTAAAGGACTCCAGCTTGCATATACTTTTGCTTTCCTTTTGGCACTTCTATGAACATGGTTTTGGTTCACAAAACATTTTGGGGAGAGTGGGCTGTCCTTTCAAATTTTGACAGCATGCTAATGATTATAATCTCACTTCTCTTCCAGCTGACCAGTATTAATGAAGTGCTGTAGTCAAAGGTAGATAAATTCTGAGGAATAGAAGTTTGATCTGTGAGATGAAAAACAGATTTTTTTTCCTCAAAATTGCTTAAATGTTAACTGTTCATGTTTTCTCAAAGAATGCCACTCAAAATTAGTTTAAACCTAAGCATGACATTCAATACAAGTCAAGTTTTAAATAGAAACTGCCTTTTGGAAAGCTTAGGTAGCCAATCAAAATATTTAATGTGGCTATAGTGTATATAATTCTTGTCTGAAGAGGTTTTATGTTTCATACACTAAAATTAATTGGGAAAAGGGAATTAAGACAAGTAGTTCTTTCTTAGGAGCATCCTATAGTGGATGTGAATCATTATCACATCCATAACTCTTTAATCCATATGAGTCTGACCCAAATCCCTTCCAGATTAGGTGATTTGAAAGCAGACCTGACTTTTTATATGTATTACAGGTATATAATATGTTACTCAGGTTCAGCTGGGATTACAGGAAATCCCTGTAACTGCCTTTGTCTTTAGGCAGACTTTATTCCTGTGGAGAGGACAGTGCTGCAGTCATCTATGCTGCTATGGACTAGGGAGCAGTGTAGTTCTACTAGGGTGGTACCTGAGGTAATCCTGTTTTGAGGGAAGAGGGGTGCCCTTGCAAGCAGGTTTAGCTGATCAGTGTATGGCTCTAGCAGTTGTACCAGCTGCAGCTGGGGAAGATCATGGGATCTGTATGCTGTCATTTTTCTACAGTACAATAATCCAGGAAACTCCACTTGCCTCCACATCCTTGCTTGCTTCTAGTCTTATGTTGCATTTCCTAATCATGCATCATATGTTCTTTGTCAGTAATTCTTAAAAGCAAAATATCACTGGTTGGATTGTATTGTCTGTCACATCATCTCTGTGTCTCTTTCCTTCATTGTTGATTTTATCTGTGCTTTCAATCACCATGCCTTTTCCTACTATTGTTGCTTTATTTTTTCCCCTGCTTGGATTAGTGCTTCTATTCTCCAAACCCTCTGTTTCTCATTCCTTTGTCAGGTGAACATGGAAAACTTGCTATTTCTTGCATGACTTCTCAGTGTCTCGTAAGTTATTTTAATTCATTTTTTCCCCTGTAAATTCTTCCTGTTTTTGAATGAGTGGAAGGAGGGAGCACATAGTGTATCCCTGGAGATGAATGTAATGCTGGAAAAGATGTTTCCGGGAGATTCATCTTCTTCTGTTCTTCCTTTTTGCTGTGGATGGGATGTGGTGATAGGTATAGAAATAAAATGACAGCTAGCAACACTGAAGTGTTTCTCTGGTCAGGGGGAGTATCTGCTAAAAACAGAAAGTGTATGGAAAGGAGTGAAGTCAGGAGGAATTGTGGGTGCAGGGGTTGGAGAGACAATTGCAGACAGTACCAGAGCAGATGGGAATGAGCAGCTGTGAAAGAAAGTGGCTATCTAGCTGGGTGATGGTGAGTGGGTGGAAAAATGCTGAAGGAAGGCAGTACCCAAAGAGGATTTTTGCGTGGTTTCACTTTTCCTACCCTTTCTATTGCAAAGCAGTGGCAGCACCTTTTGCAGGACTGGCAGCGTGTGCCAGCTGCAGTGGGGTCAGCTGCTCAGGGTAGGACCTCCACTGTCTGACTGAACCCATGCATGTTCTATTTTGAAGAGACCTTTATGACCAGGTTTGTCTTGGTTTCAGCTGTATTAAATGTCACTGTAGTGCTATCAGTGCTGAGTACTTTGTTATGATACAAAGATCTTGAAGCTAAGAAAGATCTTACGATAAGAATTATATCGGAATAAAATCAACGTTTATTGTACTGCTTTTGTTTTGGTGTTACTTTATCTAAGGTGTAATTAATGTTCACAAGCTTCACAGTGCATTTAAATTTTACCCTGGCCAATGAGGAGGAGATCTAATAATCTGGCTAAAGGACAGTAAAATAATTACTATTTCTGTAATGCTTTCTGTCTTGCAGAGATCCTGCATAAAGGTCCTGGTATTGACTTCTTTCAGACATGTGCTTGGGGGGGCTCACGCAGTTTGGCTTAAAAGATGAAGTGGTCTCAAAAATGGGATTAATGTAGTAACAGTTGCTTGATTCTGCAC